GGCTCCAACTCACGGACCGTGAGATCGTGACCTGAGCTAAAGTCGGACGCTTAACCGACTGAGCCACCCAGGCGCCCCTTCAATGACTTTTTAAAGTTAGGACAAGGTTATGTAAGTTCCTTTCTTCTTTTTTCAGACACAAACGCCTCAAAAACTTACCTTAATGACTCTGAAGCTCAGGTATCGTCTATTCAGCATTATGATCTTATATTCATTGGTGCCATCATCCATGACATGCCGCAGAGCAAGCAGGGAGGGAGAATTGGCAAGAACCGCGCTCCGCCACGCAGGGTCCCCTTCATGAGCTATTACGAGGTTCTTTTCATGAGACACAATGGCTTCATAGAGCACAGTAGGGTCATCATACTCATCTGGAGAAGTGAAATGATCCTAAACAGAAATAAAAAATGTTTTTTTTTTAAAGTTTATTTATTTTGAGAGAGAGACAGAGCACTAACAGGGGAGAGAGAGAGAGAGAGAGAGAGAGAGAGAGAGAGAGAGAGACAGAGAATCCCATGCAGACTCCACAGTCAGTGCAGAGCCCCACGTGGGGCTCAAACTCACGAACTGTGAGATCATGACCTGAGACGAAGTTGGATGCTTAACTAAGCAATCCAAGTGCCCCCAAAATATGGTTTATAGGAAGTGAAGGACTTCCAGTGTACTGATAAAAGCTTCTATAGTTACTACTCAGTTACTAAATGAAAATTCTTAAAAATTGGTTTAATATGAATGTTTCATATCCATACATATTATTGTTAGAGATAAATCAGAGATTCTTAAATTCAATCAGATTAGGGATTAGCTCATTACTGCCGTACTACTTTTGTAAATTCTTCAATCCAACCCTATCCTCTAAGTTTTAAATAAATAAATACCTTTCCCATTTTTATGTATTTTCTTTTTCTCATTCAAGTTGGGTTTTACATGTCTTCATTCACACATAATTTTTTTCTGTTCAAGAACTGTCTCACTGGTATCAGTTAAGGAAGGCTAAACTACATAAAAGTTCCCTCTTACATACAACTCTAATATACATAAAAGTTCCCTCTAATATAACTCTTGGTGACACTGACACTCCAGAACTCACTCTAGAATTCAGCGGAAGCTAGAATTCAGCTGAAATACAAGTTTTGTTTAGCTTCTTCCTTGCTTCTCTCCCTTCCTTACAAATTCCCCGGAGGGCACCCTGTCAATCTCTTGCACAGGAGTCCTGGACTCTGACTCTGTTTCTAAAGAACGTGGCCTAAGCCACGTTTACAAATTAACAATACCTCTGTACACCAACCCTCCTAACCTTTCCTTTAAATATTAAGCTCACTTTCTCATATCAGCAGATAACCAGATTTCATATAATGCACTCTCTTGTAGCAAATAGTTCCTCTAGGGAAGGAACAGTTCCTTTGTATGGTAGTGTTGGTATAATTTTTGAATGGAAAATAAAAGTGCAGACCTAGGCAATAATTATATTCTTAATAAAATGGACAAAGTTGGAAAATATTAGGCATGTCAAAATGGAGTATGTTTAATCTTGTTCAAATATTTCTTCTCATTGGGCTGAATGAATATTGCTTTGGAGGCAAAGTATTTGAAACAAGCAGAATGTCCATGAATACAGAAATTGCTAAATAAACTGTAGTTAAAAATCATACCCTGAAATACTACAGAGCTGTTAAAAATGTGATGTGCCTCTGTATGTGCTGGCTATTCATGTTATATGTATTTTTTAAGTTTATTTATTTTGAGAGAGAAATAGAGAGCACACACATATGTACACTGAGCAGGGGAGGGGCAGAGAGAGAGAGAGAGAGAGAGAGAGAGAGAGAGAGAGGGAATATCCTCAGCAGGCTTCTTGATGTCTGCACAGAGCCCAACACAGGCCTTGATCTTACGAACTGTGAGATCATGACCTGAGCCAAAATCAAGAGTTGGACACTTAACCAAATGAGCCACCCAGATATCCCATCCATGTTATATTAAATAGGGGGGGAAAGCATATGCCACAGATCATTTTATGTAGCACAATTATATTTTTAAAAAGGCAAATATTTATACATATAGATGGAAATGTCTATGAACTTAGGGAAATCAGAAAAGATATACATCAAATTATCGGCAGTGGCTGCTTCTTGGAAGGGCCGTACAATGGTATGGGGTGATGGGAAGATACTCTTGGGTGATCTTTTTCATTATGTTTCAAATAAAAAGAGCAAATGTTCCCAGTTCTGGCAAAAGTTTTTCAAAGGCGTTTTAAAAATACACTTGAGAAGTTATAAGCCAATGCACAAGATATATTTTTTGAAGATAATGAAACTGATTCATTTAGTATTCATTGGCGGCCAAGCATTGTGCTAAGCAATGATGATGTAAAGATGAATAAGAAATATGGGGCACGTGGGTGCCTCGGTCAGTTGAACATCTGACTCTTGATTTTGGCCCAGGTCATAATCTCAGGGTTGTGAGATTGATCCCCATGTCAGGCTCTCTGCTGAGCAGGGAGCCTGCTGAAGATTCTTTCTCTTTCTCCTTCTGCTCCTCCCCTGCTTTCTCTCACGCACACACTCTCAAAACAAAACATCTTTGTCCTCAATCACAGACTGACTGTAAGATTTTCATCATGTCACTTATAAGCCAAACTGGATGTTGAGACTAATGACAATGGTAAAACAAGGAGGTAAAGTGTTTTACAAAATGATTAAATAGAGAAGAAAACACATGAACAAGAGAACACATAAAAAAGGCAATTTGCTTAATTTCTCTGAGTTCTTAGTCTTCACCTACCAAATTGGGATTTAAATGATTTTCTGGGTTGGGGCGCCTGGGTAGCTCAGTCAGTTAAGGATCAGACTTCGGCTCAGGTGGTGATCTCACGGTTGTTCGAGCCCTGTGTGGGGCTCTGTGCTGACAGCTCAGAGCCTGGAGCCTGTTTCAGATTCTGTACCTTCCTCTCTCTCTCTGCCCCTCCCCCACTCACCTTCTGTCTCTGTCTCTCAAAAATTAAATAAATAAATGGGTTTCCCCCCCAGTTTACTAAAAAATAATAATGATAATGATAATTTTCTGGGTTGTGGAGACATCATGTATATAAGAACACTAATATGCTGCACAACAGTGTAAAATTATAAATACTACACAGATTATAAATTTTAATTTATAAAGTAAAAACATAATACATTAGATTGGAGAATTAAAAAATCAAAAAAGAACTGTAAAGGAAAAAGCAAAAATTAAAAACACCTACAAAGTACTAAACACATATTAGCAAAGATTGAGAGGCAAGGGTTAAGAGAAACTTTATATTTCTAGCTTTCTGGGGAAAAAAAACCTTTTTTTAAGTTTGAAGTATAAGTTACATATAACAAACGATACCATTTTAACCATGCAGTTAGAAGCATTTTGACAAATATGCACACCCATGTAACCACTGCTACATTCTAGATATAAAAGTTCTCCCTCATCCCCAAACACTCCTTCCTGTCTTTTGGCATTCAATCAATCTCCACATCCCAAAGGACCACTAATCTGCTCTCTGTGGCTACAGACTAGTTTGGCTTTAGATTTTATATAAATAAAATTATACAATATGTCTCTTTTTATGTCTGGCTTCTACTCTGCATAATGTTTGAGATTCATTCATGTTGTGGAGTCTAACAGTAGTCCATTCCTTTTTATTGCTAGGTAATATTCTATTATGTAGATATACCATAGTTTGTTCGTCTGTTGATGGACAGTTGAGTTGTTTCCAGTTTGAGGCAATTACAATTAAGACTCCAATGCACACATGTGTGTTCTTTGTACAGACATAAACTTTCATTCTCTTAGGTAATTATTTCTGGGTTCTATGGAATGTGTATGCATATCCTCTCTTTTAATATTGTTCGCTTAACATTGCCCATTTTTTGCTTTTGGGAGTTTTCAGGAGTATACAACATACAAACCTTGGAGATTACCTATTTACAGATCTATCTTTTCTTGGCCTGAGAGTCCCTCGTGGGCAACCCAAATTCTGTCTCAAAATGATGCTCATAAATGGTTGTTTCTTACCACTGAATGGATCCACCTCAGCCTTCTCAAAGGTGTGTCAGAATTATGGAATTTTTCCAGGGGCACTTGTGTTCCCTACCTTCCCCTCACCAGCCTTCCGTGGCTCCTGGGTTCCTGATTCCAACCCCTTACCCCCTGCTTGTCACTGTTGTTGTCAGTCACGGCTAAGGAGAGTGAGTTTACCCAACTGTGTTGGGCCATCATGTAAGGTAGAGAAACACTGTCACAGGCAATAACGCCACCGCCAAAGGAACATGTAAGGAAATGAACGTGGCAGCAACAGGTAAGAGCACCTGTAGGGAGAGATGGCGGCAAAGACCTACGGTATCAGAAAATACAGATACCCTGTGCCTCAGTTTCTTCTCTGACAAATGGAGATAAAATACTTGTCATAACTTTTAGAATTAACTGACGATCTATTTGGAGTTGTTAGATAATCATGTTATGTAAAAGAGTATTTCTTACAGAGCAGATATATTAATCAGTGCCTTTTGAGAAATTCTGGTTTTAAAAACACTTTAACCTAAAGTCATTATTTTTTTCTTTTAAAGACACTGAATTGTCTCAAAACCAGAAAGCCAGTCTGAAGATGGACAACTCTTTGTTCCCAAATGTACATTTTCTCCATGATCCTCAAAATACTATTCCATTTTCAACAGAGACTTTCAAATAATATATCCCTGATCAGTAATCTCCTAAATAATATGGGACATTGACTTTATTCCAGCAGTCTTAGATTATAGTATTATCACTTGCAGAGTAATTCACCCTTTATGTGGGGGGAAAAATATTCAAACAGATTTGAGTATAAAATATGCATTTTAATGAGGCTTATCAGGCAGTCTTTGTCACCAGATCTGATGACTATTGTCAAGTGGAATGATTAGGGCAGCAAGCACCAGTTCTTAATCTCATAATACAGTCTTGAAATGATCCAGGGCTTTGGAAACGTATTTGGGGGTTACATTTTAATTTTTATTACCCTATTAGGATTATTTAACTAAGGCTAAATCTGTCCTGACCATCTATCGTTCTGTATAACTTGCTACACTAAACACAGAGTTCAGTAATAGCAGCACTTACAACTCCACCGAGATGCTACTCCACTGCACTGGGAGTTGGCTAACATTCAGCTACGGAAGAGGCTTGAATCACATGTGAAATGTGAGGTCAAAACAAGAACTCTAAGGGTGAGGGACCTTTATTTCCAGTTTGTCACTGCTTACAGTTTGACTCAAGTTCGTGCCCAGATCATTTACTCTTTAATATTAATATTCAAATTTACTCTTAGAAACATACGTTCAGGCTTCTAAGATTTAATATCTTGCCATAAATCATGTTTTTCTGTTTTTCAAATGAAATGTTTCTCAAAAAGTTCCCCAGGAACATAATTTGGAAGTGAACCAGCACCATTAAACACCAGTAATACATTATAGTTTTCCTTTTCTTACCTGATGAAGTTTAATGGACATGCGGATCCCCGGGACTACTACTTTCCTTAGTAATTCCATGTCAGCAAAGATCCATTCATCTCGAATTGAAGAAATACGGAAATCTCCCTTAAATAGGGCATGCAGTCCATAGAGGAATGACTCTAAATTACTGTTAGGATTGGAGATAAAAGTTTACACATTTTGACAAAGATCTACCATCACACTGATTCTTACATGTGGTTGTACATCAGAATCATCTGGGAGTGTTTTGCAAATACAGATTCCAAAGACTGTACTAATGCCAGAACCCCTCAATCAGAATCACAAGGGATATAGGGCCTGTTTGAGCTGGGATCCTTGTTTAGTAACCACTATAACAGTGAGTCCATGAAAATCAACAACGAAGAGTATATAAGCTACAAAAACTTAAGGAGGGCCTATTGGAAAACATATAGTAATCACAAAAGAATCTAAACCAGGTAATATTTCTTAATTCTAATTCATTAAGATGCGTACGTATGTCAAGAAATTCAGTTTATATTTATACTCCCTAAATCTAATGTACTATATTAGCCATATTAAAAGCATAAATGCTTTGGACAAAAACTACATGGATACATGGAAAAATAAAAAGAGGTAAATCATTAGAAAAACAGATATAAAACAGGGGGAGACCAATAAACTTTATGGGGTGATTATTAAAAATGCCTTAACTCCATTAAATTCTTGTTACCAGTAGTTACCCACACGTGTGAATTTTAAAAGCCAGCTATTAACCACTTGAGAGAACTCAACTATGTTCAAAGATCTATAAAAAACCAGTATCAGAAGAGACTTTTGCAATAAATTAGCATAGAATAAGCATTCTAAAAAGCTATCTCAGATTTTTCAGATTTATGTTATATAACTCCCCCTACTCTTTGCCTGAAAACAGAAATGCCTTCCTTGCCTGGACATATGGTGGGATGCAGTCCCCAAAGCTCTCCGTCCCAGAACACAAAGTCCATAACAAAGAGTCACCAGGGATGAATCTTTGTCTACATCCAGTGGCTTTAAAAAACAAAGAACATTAGTTATCAGAAAGGTATAAAGGTATTTTAACAAATCAGAAGATATTTAACAAATCAGAATGAAGAACTCAACTAGCATACAATTTCCATGTCTTCAAATAGTTCTAATGAGAAGAAGCTTAGCAAATCAGTATAAAATGAAGTATCAATATGTATGAGGAGGCTCTTTGAAACCTTTAAGTAAAATCTAATACTTTATAATAGCAGAACAAACTTAAAAAACTGGCTGTTTTATAAAGTATAAGGATCTTAGCAAAACATCTCAAAGTATTTACTGGTATACACCATTACTGATAACGTCCTCTCCTGAAAATACAATATTCTATCTATTAATTAGTTATTTCTGGACATAAGCTGGCTATTAGTGACGGCTGTATTACCCTCCCAGTGACTATAACTATAGTAAAGAAAATCACATTGCTATCTGGAGAATACTGCTTCCCCTCAACCTCTGAGTTTTGTTTTATTTTTTTTAACAACTGCAGATTCTCTTACTCAGATGATCAGGAAGAGGAAGATCTGGAAAAACTGACCTCATAATAACAAACAGGGATAGTCTTTCCATCTCTGAAAAAATAGGCTCAAACAGTTATAAATGAAATAACCTCTACCTTTGCTCTTCGGGAAGAGCAATACTCTATCCAGTTGAGGTAAATCACACAGAAACTCTCCCTGGATATGCCAGCTAGTCGATGGTCATAGTCTTCATCAATGTTTGGATTAAATGTTGGGTCTACATCAACATAATTTCGATCTGCACACAAACGCAGTCCCTCCTGCATTGTCTCATTAGCTAGCCACTCCTCTAGCTTAGAAGAAGTTGTAACATAATAAATGATACCCTAATGGGGAAAAGATTTAAAAAAAAAAATCCAGGTTAAATTATAATTTGGATTCACTCCAATTTCTCACTAAATAAATGCCAACAGTTTATACTGATTGTATAACTTAATATTTTATTCTAGCTCAATACTGTAAGAATACATTTTAGGAATGCTGTAAAAAATGTACCTCAGGTCTTTCTGGATGAACAGTTAATTTAATACTTTAAAAATCACAACCATAAATTCAGCAAGGCAAATTCAAAATAATTCTATTGATTTTAGAACTTTTGAGTTTAGGGTATTTTAAGAGAGGCAGAAAAACTTTACTGTGATGGATTTGAGAAATTGCTCATAGAAAGTTATTAAATCAGCTTGTGATACTAGGTCAAGTTATAGAATTATAATAATAAAGTGACAGAAATATATCTATTTAGAATCAGAATTGGAAAATCCCATATACACATGCAGACGCACAGCATGTAAAAACTATAAACTCTATCTCCCTGAGGTTGGGTTTAACCAAACATTAAATATAAGATTTAACATTCATCCCAATCAGCACAAATAAGGTGATACATAGAGGAAGTAAAACAGATATGGAAAATCCAGACATGGGTCACCGAAATTTAGCATACATTTCCCTCTTGAAAATATTGGCCTTGTCTGCAGGCCGCCAAATCATAGCTGTGCTGTAATCTTGTAAAATCTTCAGCAAAAACAGAATACCGGTGTAGTAAAGAACTAGCCTTGCCCAAAGAGAGGTTTGGTATCTGCCCTTGGGTCCTGGGAAATAACTTCTACTCCCTTGGAATGCCTTGGCTGATTAAGACTCTTTGTTCACTTGGGGCTTAGAGCCATGACCTCTGGAGGAGCTGGAAACTAAGGCTGGCCGTGTGGGTGGTCAGCCACATTTAAGTGACTGCACTCCAATAAAAACTCTATATACCGTAGCTGAAGCAAGCTTCCTTAGTTGACAATACTCTGTGAATACTGTCACACATTTGCTGCCAGGAGAAATGGGCATTGTGTGCACAACTACACCGGGAGAAGATGACTGGAAGCTCATGCCTTGGTGTTTCTGGACCCTGCCCTATATGCCTATTTGCATGGCTGATTTTAATCTGTATCCTTCCACTGTTATAAATCCTAATCAAGAGTATAATGGCCTTGCTGAGTTCTGTGAGTCCTTCTGGCAAATTACTGAATCTGAGAGTGGCCCCTGCAGTGGTGTCACAAGTGAGGGTGGTCTTGGGGAACTCCCAAATCTTGCAATACTTTTATTCAGTTTATTGAAAGCAGTGCAAAGCAGTGGTCAACAGCAAGGGCGCAGGAGTCAGACAAGCCTATGTTTTAAATCCATAACTCCATTTGCTAGTTAGAGGAGTTGGGACAGGTAACATCTGATTTTTGTTTACTTGTAAAACAGAGATGTGATACTCCCTTAGGAAACTGGGTAAGATACATATATTTGTATATATGCATATTCCTTAGCCCGGTGCCTAAAACACACGAACTACAAATAATAGCTATTATTATTAATAAAGAAATGGACTAAGTTCAACTAAAAAAAGAAACAGCAAGACCTTCATAGGTATACTTTACTGACTTACTGGATACTAGAGAATTTAAATCACTACTTAGAAGCAAAGCACAGGTACAAAAAATATACATAAGTCTTTCCCAAGAAAAACTTCCAACTATCAGAAGATCTAATGAGGCACATTCCCTTACCTTGACATAGTAAGTGGTGAGTACTTTCCGAAGATCAAAGACTTGAAGCATAGAAGCAGCACTATTGTCAGTGATGCTATACCCCTCCAGAATATACTTAGTGACTATCACTTCCCAAGCTAGCCAGCGCTGGCTAAATGCAGCATTAAATGAAAGCACATGAGGAATATGACCAGGTTCACAACAGCAAAATCCTTCATCTTCTTCAACGCCTTCAGTAATGGCCTCTACTTCCCGTTGTTGACAGTAAGTACCTTAAAGAGAATGAGAGAGAGAGAGAGAGAGAGAGAGACACGAGTGAATACAAAGGAGAAAAAAAAATATGAAGTAGAAAAATAAATGCTTCAAAGACACAAGAAATTTAGAAAAAAGACACCTTTTATAGTAATTGAAAGTATGTGACTGATTTGCCCTGGAATGTTCATTAACAAACTGCAGGAAGCTCCAGAAAGTAGACATATCATATATTCATTTCCTGAACAATCACAACATGCATTAGTGCATTGAAGGTTCTGAAAATTTGCGCAGTAACCTTCTTAGTTTTGATTCACTGATTCCAAACTTTTCAAATTTGGGTTTACAATAGCATTTATGTCAAATGAAGGCCAATGAGTAAAAGGACATCTCATGAAGGTTTGAGTTAATTCAATAAGGGAAGGACTGAATTAGAAGTAAATCGTCACAGGGCACACAATATAGCCAGACATGCAGAACTCAAAAGAATCTGAGCTCTGTTTTTCAGTATCATGTCCATACTGCAAGCAGGAATATGTGCATCCTGCTTATTTGGATATATAAACTGTAAAGGTTCATGATAATTTAATCTTAAATACATAATTTTTCTGCTGCCAATTCCAACAATAATTGGTTAAAATTATATTATTGGCATTTGAAGCTTATCTGCTGATAAAATTTAATTAGTTATGAGATCTGATTATTTAGCACTAGCAAACAATTCTTTGAAGTTACATTGTTTTATACAAGATACCAAACAGGCATTTCCTGCATTAGTGTTACTGAAGGGAAAATACAAAATTGGAATACACAATTACACCCACAGCAATCTAGTGCCAATAAGATATCACCTGTCACACTGATGTTAATTTTTATCTTATCTTGTTCTGTGGTCTTGCTTCCACTTAATTAGTCAATTCCTTATATAATAATTATAAGGGGATTACACCTAATTTTATAAAGGCACATATTTAGGCTAAATAACTTATATGAGACTTTACAATAATTTTTTTCTTTAGGGGCGCCTGGGTGGCGCAGTCGGTTGAGCGTCTGACTTTAGCCAGGTCACGATCTCGCGGTCCGGGAGTTCGAGCCCCGCGTCAGGCTCTGGGCTGATGGCTCGGAGCCTGGAGCCTGTTTCCGATTCTGTGTCTCCCTCTCTCTCTCTGCCCCTCCCCCGTTCATGCTCTGTCTCTCTCTGTCCCAAAAATAAATAAACGTTGAAAAAAAAAATTAAAAAAAAAAAAATAATAATTTTTTT